CAAAGACACTCAGACTTTCCGCACCAGTCTTTCCCAAGTCCCTGCGGAATGGGGGACAAACAATGGTCAAATAACTATATGAGGATCAAGGAAGTCTGTCAAGTAATGAAGGTTGTGTGCAATGTAAACCATACTGTGCTTTTCCTAATAAAAATAAAATTTCAAAAAAGAAATAGACATTACGTCCAACCTGAAGACAGTTAGACGATTTCCGCCTGTATGGGAATGAAATCAGCATTATACCATTCAACATTCAAAAACACATTAATATAGTATGAAGAGTATAAAATCATATCTTAAAATACTAAGTTTATAACTAGGACAAAATCACATATTAACTATCGTAATTCCTCCGTCCTGAAACTCAGGTCGGTACAGCACTCTTGCCACTAGGGGGCAGTTAGGCTGTCTTCCTGGGATTGTTTATTCTGAAAGTTATTCACACGTATCCAAGTGGTCTGGTTCACCAACGTAGATTAAAGGCTTATTGCAAAAAGGTTTGTTTTTATGACGTCCTGTTCTTCACATTCCGATGCAAAGTCTCGTTGAAACAGTTAATCAGATGAATGGCTTTTGTTATCAGTAAACAGGAAGAGTGGAGTTTTCATTTGTGTCCTGTGAGTTTGGGCTCACTTCGGGTCAATACGTTACACAAGCAAAAGAACATTGTTGGGTGGGGGTTGTCGCTGCTGTTTAGATTAAATGATGAAATCGTGAAACAGACTGTGGATCATTTTAGGATTTATTCAGCCATGATCAGACAACATAGAAACACAACACACATGGCTGACAAAGTGCGGACCATCGCTGACCCATGCTGACCAAGATCTCACAATCGCTGGCAATCATTGACCATCATTGGCCTCATTGGCAAAGTCTTCATCTTCACAGTGTTGCTTATATTCTGCTAGAAGTTGCAGCCCACAAATTCCTGGCTGCTTTGTTACATCTCTAAAAGGCTAGAAAGAAGACATCACTTTGACTCGTAAATATAACACATATACATTTCTTCAGTCTCAGAGTCACATTTCCTTTTTAGCTCACAACAGACACTTCAATCCAAATATAACTCTGCAGCGATGAGGTTTCTAACACATATGTATTACAGCTTCACAAACCTAAAAGAAGAATTACTCTGAGATGGTTAACACAATTCAAAGATATATCCACAAAATTATCAAGATGAATGAATTCACGAAAATACGTACTAACAAACATAAAATAATAATAACTCCTACAGTTTCAATAAAGTCCTCACAAACTATCGGCTAGTGCTTGGGCCCTGAATAGACTGGTTCTATGGTGGTTGTTTAAATCAGTTTTTCCTCAAAGTAAGATATATTTACGTGGTAAAACAGAACCTGTCTGCAGCTATATGTACATCCCAGGTTCCCTGCCAGAACTCTGACTGGGTTTTCAATGAAGGGGCCTTCCTTGACTGGCTTCTGTCAGGATCTGTAACCTGTCGCTAGAACACTTAGTGTTTTTAAGTACCTCACACATCACCACTGCAATACAGCCCAAACTGTCCCTTTAAAGCCCAGGGTCCAAATGTTGAGAAAAACAGAAAAGTCAGAACATTCAATGTCCTTCAAAGTTTGTATTATCTGGGTAGAGCAGCAGCGGCTCTGCGCTGATTCACCTGAGCGGTGTCTCTATGTGTTTTAGATTTACTAACAAGTCTGCCCATGGTCGATTTTTAAACCATATTTGATGGTTTTGCAGACATTGTTACATTTTTGACTTAAATACATGTTTCTTCTTCACACACAGATGTGGACATTTTGGATGATGGGGGGCTTCAGCTGGTTGAATTGAGCCCCATGGACCCCTGGCTGGCTGACCCACGAGAGCCTCAGGAGCTTCAGGAAGGAGAAGTGAAGGCAAAGCCTGATTTATAGTATACTTCTAACAAAAGAAAAGCCTATTGAAATTGATGCATGAAACAAGTGTGCCATCATACCTGAACATATATACAGATACAACTTTTTGAAAAGCAAAAGTTTGAATTTTGGCACATTCTGTGCTAGTCTCAAGAGCCATGCAATGTTATTTTGTCTGACGACACACAGGTGACATACATGACCCACGCCTGCATGGAGGTGCAGCTGGGCCAGAAGCGGTTCATGTTCGACCCATGGTTGATAGGTCCTGCATTCGCCCGAGGTTGGTGGCTTGTCCATGAGCCTCCAACAGACTGCCTGGACCGGATGTGTACAGCTGATTTCATCTACATCAGCCACATGCACTCGGACCACCTTAGGTAAATTTTGTCCTTTTAGTCCCCCAATAACCAGACAACTAGCACTTATACCTCCATTGGAGGTCACACTTAATTGTCAACACAAAAAGCAATTAAGATTTGTTCTGTCAAAATAGAAACTAGAACTGCCACCTTAATGTTGCACGTAATATTCACAAGGAGGACATGGGAATAATGGCCAAGACACATTGCAGCGTGTATGGAGTATGTGTGAATTGGAGGTTACAGACAGTAGAAATGCTAAGAAACAAACTTGGCATATCTTACCTGATAGAGGAACAGTGAGGGATTTAAGACAACACCTGTTTGCCTTTTTAAAAACTGAGAAGATGACACAGTAAACAATGAGTAACTGTGTGTTAGAGTATGTCTTTACTTATAGAGAAGAGCAAATAAACCGCATCACTGATGAAAGCACACAATATTTGTTTATGACGTGTTTCATCAGCCCTAAGCAAACCTCCGGGACTGAAACACTAGTGCCAGATCATGATAATAGACTGATCTGTTGTTGTGTGTCAGACATGCTAATAATTTATAAAAAACTATAATTGCCGTCTTAATGTTGCACGTAATATTCACAAGGATAACATAAGAATAATGGCCAAGACACATGTCAGGTACAAAGTGTCACCGGCTCAAAATGAATCCTATTGTGTACATTCTTTATCAAAAATAGGATGTAAATGATGTAGAAAAGTCCTCTGAGCTGTTTTCACACATGCTGCCCATGAAAAGTCTGGCTGAGTTAGTTGTCACACATATATATATATATATATATATATATATATATATATATTTAGACATTTTTCACCATATATATATAGTGAAATATTTAGACAGTTGACCTTCAGGGCCACCATAGAGGGATCTCAGGAGGCGAAGACATCATGAGTTAAGGATGCACACATGCCTGTAGCTCCTACTGAAACTTGGTGACAGAATTTCAGGCGTTTTGTGCATGTATGAAAACAGCATCAGAGAGACCACGGAGATCATTGCGCATCAATCTTATCATCTTAAAATCTGAGTTGACCATCAAACAAGTCAATCTAAAGTGAATCATTCTCGCAGCTTTAGGCCAGCCACACTATTATTAGCAGGTTACACATCCAAGCGTCTGCACAGCCTGAGGTCACACTCGAGCAAATCACTTCCTTTTTCATGTCACAACAGAAATTGGACACCCAGCGTAATTTTCTTTGATGAGAGTGAGGAATCGTACAGACAACAACATATGGGCAAATGAATACCCATCACACAGAGGTATTTCAGGAAGTTGGCAGGCCACACATTGATTTACAAGAGACAAAGACAAACAGCATCTTCACAATTACTTGCAGAAAAGAAAGGCAGGTACACTGGCAGAACCAAACACATTCATGTGTCATCTTGAATGCTTACATGCGAACATTGCTGTCATATATATAAGTACATTCAACAGGATATCTTACAAGGTCATGATCTCTTAAAGAGCGTTAAGAGTCATAGTTAATCAACATCGAGCTATCTTGCTGAACTAACACAGCCGCTCTAACTTTTTTTATGAGGTAATTTAACCATAGCCCTTTAACTTACAGATATTAACTTGTGTGCTGCAGAAAACAGTTTGTTGAAGAATGCAGATTGTCCGTGAGGGATCTAACCTTTTCTTCCTTCTTTAGTTACCCCACACTGAAGGTCCTCTCAGACAGGAGGCCAGATGCCCCCATTTTTGTAGGTGACACATCAAGACCTGTCTTTTGGTTAGTAAAGAGATGGAGCTCTGTTAAACCCAACACATCAACCACTACGAAATCTTTCAAATTGTGTCTATTTTTTCACATGTGCTTCCCTTTGTCTTGATGCAAAAGGGCTTTGGAGCAAAGCCAAGTCAAGCTGACCAACATCAACGTCGTCCCTTTTGGAGTCTGGCAAAACGTGAGTCGCATCTGGTTAATTAAAAATAAAAACATGAAATAACGTCATTGAAAAATAAATATTTAAAAAAGCAACATTTACAAAACTCTAATGTCAAATATTCTAACTGATCACTGACATGTCCGTTGATTCCATCAGCTTGACGAGCACCTGAGATTTATGATCCTGATGGACGGCGTGCACCCTGAAATGGACACCTGCATCATTCTGGAATATAAAGGTACATGCTTCTCCATGATTGTTCTCTTTGAAAACAATTATTCAAGTTGAATAGTTAAAACGTTTACTTTGCATTGTCTTCATTTGATGTGAAAGAAGAAATAAAAAAAATAATCTTTAATTTATTTAACTTTAAAGACACAATATGTAGATTCCGCCGCCAGGGGACTCTCGATCAAAACTACAATAACAAAAGATAACATCGAGGCTAGCGGGGAATCATGGGAGTCCCCCCTCCCCCGGTGAAAACAGACACCACGTTGACGTAGTAAAGACGAATGGGCGAAACAAACCTGAAAAAGAGAATATATTTACCAACGAGCTAATGTGTCACAGCAGTACATACAGCAACAGTAAGCTAGCTTTAAGTAGCAATTCTTGCTTCCTCATCCAGCGGTCATTGACGTAACATCCGGTGTTTCCATGGCAACAATAAACATTTCCTGTCTGCCATGGTGGCTCATCATGGCTGCCGCCTCGACAAGACAGGTCCCGTCACAATTTTAAAGTTAAGGATTTCTCTGGCTTTGATAGCTGTTGGAAATATTTTAAGTAATTTAAGTACTCAACAAACAAAAATATATAACATGGGTTTAGTTCATTTTAAATTAATGTAGATATTTTATTGTAAACATTGTCATTAGATTCTACATATTGTATGTTTAATTAATATTTTGCATGCAAAAGTTGGTTTTTGGTGCTTGCCTTAAGGCTCCAGACCACTAGGTGGCAATATTATGATCTATGTCCATCTTTTGTACTCTTCTCGATGAAATGCACTTTACCATGTTTTTCACTAATGTATGATGTCCCTAGTTTGTCTATAAATTCCCAATTAAGAGAAAAGTCCAACCTCTCCGTCATTTGCCTGCTCCACTTTTCCCTTCATGACATCACAAAGGGCAGTAACCCCTCCCCATGGGGGGGGGGCACTCCCACAGCTAGGTGTTTGGTCCTCCTTTCCACAAACAATAGGGCATGGAGCGAGTAAGCCCACGCCATCAAAGCCCTTCCAGAGAGTAGGGCTGCAACTAATGATTATTTTTTATGTCGACTAATCTATTGATTATTTTTTCGATTAGTTGATTAAGCACGATTATTTGGCATACTTTTTTTGATCCCCGTTTTACCTCGCCTGCTTAAGCATGCACACCTGTGAATTTCAACCAGCAAACGCAAATTAGAATAATGGCACATGAAACATGAGTTTGGCACATAGTAAGTATATGTTTTAGTAAGTATATTTTTTGGATCACAATGAAAGGGAAATACACTAAATAATACAAACTTGTGTGCAAACAAAAGTGCAAGTAGTCTTTGATGTATAAATAAATAACTCAAAATAGTGTTGTGTTTATGTTTAAAATGTGTTCTACAAGGTGTAGACTGGATGGAAGGTCTGGATCATCTGCTTGAAGCCTTCATCTTCAATCATAGATAATGGTCTCATGTCTATGACGATCATGTTGAGGACGCTTTCTGTGACGACCTCAGCCATTTTTGGGGTGCATGAGCCTTTCCTCATGACAAATTCATCCACACACCTTTGCTTGGCACTTAAAAAAAATGAGAGAAGAAAAACCAAAAATGTAACAATGTGAAAGAAATATTATGTTTAACACTTATCAATACCTTAAACAAATATGACTGATTTCTCCAAAATGTAATCTCTTACAAAGTATTATGAATGTGCTCCAAATCTGTTTAATTAGTTGAAATTAAGGTTTACAATTCAGATTGAACGCAAGTATTAACAGGAAAAAGAAAACTTAATGGTTTAGCAAATTGACATGACATGTCAAGTTGCTACATCATCAAGGTTTGTTTTTCCTCTAATATAAACGTATTGTACTGATAACTAAAGCAAATTGCACACTGAATAGCGTTACTGAACAAAATGTTCTCCAGGCAAGTATCAAAGATGGCTTTCTGTCTGATTAACATACGGCACCAATGTTATAAGTAGGATACTTGAATTAATCCTTGTGCCTGAAGCACAAAGGGCTCAGTAAAGAAATGCAAAAGATCTAAAAGATATTCATGTAACTTGCAAACTCACCCACTCGCGTTATTTGAAGACACTGCAGCTACAGGGTGTCGGCGTTTCAGGTGTTCGTGCATTGCCGTAGTGCTGCCATGGAAGGAGAGTGTGACTTCACACAGTTTGCACTTAACGTGTTTCACCAATTTGTTTTCGATAAAATGTTCCCAAACTTTGGAAGCCCTGGGTCGTCTATTTCTGGCATCCTCCGTGCTTTCCGCCATTATTCATGTGAACTTCTTCTTCTTCGTTTCTGTGAATAATGTTAAAATTGGGAGCGATACTGCCCCCACCTCTTCCTGTAGTGAACTGCAAGTACAGATGAGTTTTTACTGGCCGGTATTTGATTTTACCAATAACAAAAACAATAATATGACACGTCAACGAATGTTTATAATCAACGTAATCGATTATGTCGACTAATCGTTGCAGCCCTACCAGAGAGGGGGCGTGGTCAGACACAGCTCATTTGCATTTAAAGCTAAAGGCACAGAAACAGCCTGTTCTGAGCAGGACTGAAATAGAGGTGTTTATGGGCATGATCAAATTCAGGATCAGAGTGGATTTAGAACAAGGAACTTCACACACATGTTTTGGGGAACCCTAAGTTGGGTAAACATTTTTGAGGATAATATGTGACCTTTAAACTCCAACAAAAAACAGTGCTCATGGAAGAAGAAGTTAGCCCATATGGCAAGTGTACTAAGCATAAAGCAGCCTCAAGTGGACACATGAGGAAGTGCAGTCACCCGAAGTTGTTGCTTTAATCACCAAATATCACAGGCCTTTAAACAAGCAGGGTTATAAACGTTGCACTGCTTCACCTTGCATTAAATATGTTGCAATATATTTAATGGAAGCCTCTGTACTCAGATACTTGTCAATACATGGCCATAACTGTGTTTTGATTTCAGGTCACATGATCCTGAACACCGTTGACTGCACCAGGCCAAACGGGGGCAGGCTACCAGAGAAAGTGGATCTAATGATGAGTGACTTTGCCGGGGGGGCGTCTGGATTCCCCATGACCTTCTGTGGCGGGAAATACAACGGTGGGTTCCCTTCAGCTTTTTCATCTCACTACACAACAGTTTAGAAGTGTCTGAGTCTGTTATGGTGCTTTCACACATACCAAAACTCTAGAAAACGTCCTGAGTTGTTCAGAGTGAGCTGCACACGTGGACACAAACAGACAATTTTTTCACTCCGACTTCATATGCCGAGCTGATCTGACGTAACTCAAAACACAAACACAACTCAAAAAACAACTGCATGCGAGCGAGCAAGCCACAATGGGTGGTGATGTTTTTATATATCGGCACATGACCACAGACTATGCATGGAACCAGTGGAATCAATGCACATATTGGTTTTTCTCCACTCTTCTGTTGACGCTGTATTGAGTTACATGTATGGTTGACATAAACACACATTTTCCTCATTGTATTGAACTCTCATTATCTGCCTATTTAGAGCTCTGGCCCACACGTCCCTCACAGCCTGATAGTCTACATGTGAACAAGCAACTCAGGAAGTTTTGATTGGCAGTGTGGAGTGCTTTTGTAAAAAAAAAAGCTTAAGTTGTTTCATGATTGAACTTAAATACAGCATTTGTTTTAAAAGTAATAGTTAAAGGCAGGGTTGTTAATTTCTCCAGATCCACTTTTTAAGATTTTGTCTTTAGGTCCTGACAGAAATTAATAACTTGTGTGCTCTGAAAAAGAAGAAAGAATATCAGTCATCTGTATCAGTTTGTAATGTAAAAACTTCAACCAATGTCTGCCACGAGGTACCAACCTGACGAACCAATCACACGCCTCCCTGTCTCCCTGCTTGCTCTCTAGCCCTTGTGTTCACTAGTCCACACTCAAGCACGTCACAGATGACAGAGTTTATACTGTGATTATACCGTTGAATGAGACATGAGATGACGTAGTTTCTACACAATGAAAGAGAGGAGCTGAGGTCTGCTTCTGGAGCAACGGCGCTCGTGCATGTAAGTGAGGGGACGTGGCTTTTGAGGGAGCACAGAGTGGAGGGGGTGGGTGTAGACATAGCACTGAGGGAATACTACTTTCATGCTAGTTTTCAAAAAATATCAACCCTGCCTATAAGTGTATTTATTAAAACTAAAATATGACAGCAGTATAAAGAATCTTTCAGAGATACATTTGTACTTGTGAAAGTTGTAAAATATTTGCAGTTTGAAGTGTAATGTAACAAGCTTTACGTTACCTATGTGGTGGAAAATCAAAGCCTCGTCTGATGAGCAAAAGACATCTTTGTGCGTTCCATCAATCATTCTTCCCATGGAACCAAATTGGGACTTTAACGCTCTTTATCCTACGTCACTAAACTTTTCATACAATTTGGGGGCTATCCACCAAAAAAATCCTAGATTTTCTATTTTTATTGGAATTTCTAAATCCAGTACATCTAACCAAGTATTTCTGTTTACAGACTCCTGGAAAGCAGGGTTCATCAAGAATGAAAGGAATAAGCTTCTCAATTACAAAGCTCAGCTGGTGAAGTCCTTGGAGCCCAGGATCTACTGCCCGTTTGCTGGCTACTTTGTGGAGGCTCATCCATCAGACCGGTAAAGCTTGTTAAGCTAGCGCAGACCAGGGTAAACGATTTACATCCAAGAAGAAAAGAGTTGAAAAGGATGCAGTTGATCCGCTGATATGTTTGACTCTATTTAAGACTTAGAATAGAGTTAATATGCGGTTTTATCCATGCATCTTCTTCTACCTGTGTGTGTTTGGGTGTACAGGTACATCAAAGATACCAATGTAAAAAACAAGGCAGAGGATCTAAACGCACTCATCAATAAGACCGCACCAGACATCAAGACATGGACGCCCAAGCCAGGCGCTGTGCTGGACCTCGGCCTTGCTCTCAAGGATCCCACCAACAGGTAGACAATGTTTAAAGCACTCTGTGTGTTTAATCCAATATCTGACAATAAAATATAACTGACTTTTTTTTTTTTACTGAAGATAAATCACAAAACTCAGCAAACTCAAATCAGTGCAAGGCAATGTTCAAACAGCTGAGTTTGGGCACCGTCCCTCCAGCTGCCGAGTGAAAACACAAATGAAACGAAGATAACCCAAAGGGGTTAGACGGATTGTAAACAAGATGTAACTTTAAAGGCCCTGACACAGAAGACGGCAAAGAACAAGACAAAGGCCGCCTTTGTCTTGGCCAAAAAGTTATGGATAACTCTCCATGCCAGCAGGTGGCGGTAGTCCATTGTTATGATACGAGAAGACCATTTTCACACCGCTGTCGCACACCACTCTTGTCTTAATCTTACACACACGCCTACTAATGGAGAATAATGTATGATAAAAAGTTGAAAATGGCCTGGCGTTGTCAGCCCTTGGTCTTTTAGTTGAAAAAGAGGCGACAATTGAGGAGAAACCGCATTAATGGATGAAAGCATGCAGCGGCATGATCAAGGGGCTTTTCCAAACCTGTGTCGAGAGCTGGAGATAAATGAAACCTCAGAAGAGCCATTCAGAGAGATTCCTCTCACCAACCACCAATTCAACAAAGGCCAACAAGGGGGCGACGGGTAGTGAGCCGGACACACGGCAAAAACTAGGGCGACGACCGCTCCCCAATGGTCCAACTAGGACCGACGGCCGACGATCTCCTTGGTGTGTCAGGACCTTAAAACACATCCCGTAAATGGCAAAAAAAACAACAACATGACAGAACTGGTAAGACTGGAGATAGAATGAGCTGAGGTGACACCTTGTAGAAAGCTAACGACAACCACCTAGCAATAAAAGCAACCACAACCGTTATTATTCATAACTTTAATTACATATCTTTAGTGTCATGTGTGTTTCTGAACTTTCAGGTTGGCTATAAGTTTCAGCCAATTTTATATCACACTGATTTAGAATCACAAGACAACCTCCACATTCGGTATAAGTCATTAGAGGTCCCTGGATTAAACTGTGGCTGTGGCTCAGTTGGTAGAGTTGCCTTCTCTCAACCAGAAGGTTAGGGGTTTGATCCCCAGCTCCTGCAGACACACATCTGCATGTCCTTGGGCAAGACACTAGCTAATGCTGATCACTTTCCATAGCAGCCTCTACCATCAGTGTGTGAATGTGTAGGTGTGACCTGTCGTGTAAAAGCACTTTGAGTAGTCATAAAACTAGAAAAGCCCATTTACATACCATTCACCTTGCAAACTGTGTTTAAAGCATCTTGGTTCAGCAAAGTTCAGTTTTCTTGAGTAGAAATATTATTTTAAAAAAGCTCGCAAAACTACAAAAAAGACAAAGGTAGTAATGTACTAAAGCGATTCTTAAATCTATCTGAATATTTAAAGACCTTCATGCACTTAATATCACCTTATTGATGTAAATATTTCCATCACTACACTAACAAACAGTGCGGCCATCACCAATCCCCCAGCCAATGCAAAAATCTACAAGGACAGCTGGGACTTTGACTTGTATGTGGATGAACTGAACAGTGCCATTGACAGTGAGATATTTAGACATCGACGCTGGATCCAGTTTTATTACACCTGGGCAGGCTTTCAAAACTACAACCTTGTTGTGCGGGTAAATAAACTCAACATTTAAGATTCTCTCTGTTAGTCTGGGACTGACATGGTGGTTTTTCCTGTGCTTTACACAGAAACAGCGATAAGTATGCACAAGTATTTCTATCTGTGGTGGCATCAGGGACGTGCACAGACATTTTGGGGGCAGGGGCTAGAGTAAAAAAAGGGGGCACTGCTAAAGCTAACATAGCATGTTGTAGCATTTAAACACTTTCTGATTCACATAACTGTTTGGACGTTTGACTGTTGATGAGATATGACAAGCATATCATAAACTAATTCTGTTTTGGTTATACTGATGTCCCTTCCCAAACTATTGAGTCTAAATTTCTTGATGGAGAACAATAATAAGGCAATGAGGGAACTTGTCAATCGAAATCCCCCCAAATAGTTTATATGTGCACGTTCCTTGGGGACGAATCGCTCTGGAGCTTCGTTCATAAGTAAAAGGATGTGTCGAAGACTTCATCCCCAATTGAGTCCAAGCCGGTGATCTGTGCTGCATGCCATCTCTTCTCTTTTTGCTTATTTTGTGTCACCTTTCCACCGTCTTATCTGCCAAAAACAACTTTCTAAAAAAAGGTTTTAGGGCGTAGTCTGGTAAACCACTCTTTTTAACGTCTCTTTTCCCTTTGTCATGATCCTTTTGATGCTTTTGATGTGTGAAGCACTTTGAATTGCCTTGCCTAATAATGGCCATGATTGATACCTGCCACTCCCTCCAATTAACAAAAGACACTTTTAATCATTATTTCATGGTGCAGATTAACGGTCTAAAGATTTCCATGGCCCTGATGTGGTTTCCCTTGTTGTTTTTATGTTTGATGATGAAGAAATTCACCGTTGACACTGATTTGCTTTCAAAAAGGATTATTTATTAACAAAAACAGCATCTCCAGGCTCGCCATGGTTCGACCTGGGAGAGACACATCCAAAAGTGATCTCTCTCGAACACACAGAAACTCTGGTACTTAAGGACACACCTCACAGGAGAACAACATGGACATCTGTTTGTTTTCAGGACAACCCCTCTTACTTCAGCTGCAGGGGTTTCTGTCTTAGGTGTATGTATGTCATAAACTCAAAGGACAACACAGGTCACAAATACAATCTCTTGTCCAGATGTCCCAGATACAATCACTTGTCCCAACGTGGTCTCCACACCCTTAAGGAGTTAACCTATGTCCAAAGAATTTCAGACATTTCAGACACTTCATTCCCCCCTTCGAGACAACAGTCTCGAAAACTAGAAAATAATACAATTATGTTAATTGGCCTCATAAGAATCACTTCTGTCCATGCTTAACCTTAGCAATATAGGATTTTTTTTTATTTGCTCTGGAGTGTGAGAGCAAAAAACCCATCAGGCAGCTATCTTTCTTTATTATCCATCAAACAATCTAGACAGGAAAACTCTCTCACGGTCCCTCTGCCCCAGGCAACCACATATAGTACTCCTAACCAATTAAAAAGAGAAGGGTTCTGAAAACTTTATAGGATTATGTTGAAATGCATACATTTAAAGCCTCAGAAATAAAATCAAAAAAATTGTCCTAAGTCAGGCTGGTCGACCCATCGCACCTTCCAATGGACCTTTCTCTACCACCACTTTCCCTAAGGATCGATAAAGAAAGAAAACACCTGAGGTCCCAATATATGCATCTTATACAGTTCCAGAAAACTCCAATACTAATCCAAAGTAATATGTCTTACTAAAAAATATCTATTATAGAGTAAAAAGTACAGAATATTTATCAATAATACAAGTTACATTGTAATAAAGAAAATCCAAACACTATAAAAACATACATATATATCAAACTGTTGCTTTTTAGCAGCATCAGCTTCTACTGTAACAAACCTTCAATGATTTTTCAATCGAAACCCCTCATCATGATGTCCTCATTCAGGTTTCCGCTGTCCATTTCCATCCTCCATTTTCCTAGGTTTGGTTGTTCAAGTCCATTAGACTGGAAAGATCTCTGGACAATCAGCCACCCTCACATTGGTCTCCCAAATATTGTCCTAGGAAGAAAAATCAACAATCAGTATCTTTGCACATACAAAAACATCAAAAATATTCATTTTTGTATCATACTTTCACATTATTCCACTACATGATTAACATATACATGATAACATACATATTCCATTTCCCCCTTTTATCCATTCACTTCCTATTCAAAATAATAGCAATTAAATGATGAAGTCAGATATTCAAAATGGATATTTCTCTACTAGCTATTGTCCCATCTCTATGACCTCCTCATCTTCGCTCAGGTCATTACCACTCAGTAACCACCAGAATCTGAAACATTATAGCTCCTACTGGTCCTAATTGTTCTTGCAACCAAGCATTATCAGACCATCCTGCTCCTTCTGATGGACCAAATGAATTCCTTATGAGTGTCAATGCATCTATGACACTAGTCATATTGTCAGCAACATCAGGGATCAAAGTATAACAGTCATCCCCAGTTAAAATCGCTGGCCTCTGCATGGCTTTAATCAAAACACCATTAACACCAACAGAAACACCTTCATCCAATTCAGACTTATGTGTTGGCAGATTTTAACAATACATTTTTTAACACATCATTCTTTTTTTTCTTTTTTTCACAAACATCTTGGATTTGCAGATGACAAACAGCGCCTAAATGTTGTTTAATTCCCAATTTTTCAAAATGAGTCTTATTGTTTTATCCATGAACTCTTTCCCATTATCTGAAGATATGCAGTCTGGGAGTCCCCACCTGCTTATGACCTCACAACACAAAAACTTAGCAATAGACTGAGCATCTTTCCGCTTAGTTGGACAGGCTTCAAGCCACCTTGAAAATCTGTCCACAACAACTAGCATATATCTTTTACCTCCTACCGGTCTTATCATATCAACAAAATCCACAACTAACTCACACATAGGACCTATTGGCGTCCTAACATTGTGTTTGAGACAAATAGTACACCTGCCTATGACATAATCAATCTGCTCAAGCAAATACAGTGCCCCAAAACCATACTCTTTCATAATCTTTCTCCTAACTCCCCCCCTTGCACATGGGCTTAACCATGTGCTTCCTGAATCATCAGACCTAGCAGGTCTAACAATTTAATTATCTGAGCATTCACTTATCTCTCTACTTCCTGAACCTTCACTATTCTACCTTACAATTCCTTCAACATAACTCTAACTCCTTGACCTTTCCTGTAAACAACAGAAAAGTCCTCTCCAACCTCAGCATCTATCTATACCCCTCTAAAACCTCATCTGTTCTGTAACATTTACAAGCAAAGTGGCTTAGCTGGCCACAATTCTGACACACTTCTGAAGACTGTTGGAAATGTCCTCCTCTGCCTCTTCCTAAATTTCCTTGACCTTTTCCTCTCCATATCTTACTTTGAAACTTTGAAATCCAAGGATGTGCTCCATCTTGAAGAGTGGGTAACTTTTCAAGTATGTTTGACATATCTGTACTTTGCCAAGGCTTATACTCTAAATTTTGACCTCGCACAATTACTGGACACATTTTATCGAGTCTCTTTCCTTTTCTTGGACGTAATACATACCCCAAAGTGTCAGACTTTTGAGACTTCTTCTGTATTTTCTTCTGTGTTTTTTGCAGTTCTTTTAATTGCTTTTTCAATAATTGCTTGGTTTCTGGACTGGTAGATTCACTTATGTTCACAAGGCATCTATCTATAGTCCTCTCATTCTCTCTTAAAATCCTGCATCCATCATCTTCCACCCTTGTACCGGCTGCTAGCGAGTGAAGATATGAAAGACCTTCTCTCTCTGAGTCTCCATCACTATCACTCTCATCCGTGATGTGATAGTTGCCCTCCTGTCTTATCACTGGGAGCTGAGGATAAACATCAGTAAACTTCACTTCCTTCTCATAAGGCGGGGGCTTCTTTGCTGATGCAGTATGTGAGAAGGGTGTGTTAACCTTCTCCATTAACTTTCCTGCTTCCTTATCATTTTTCTTTATTTCTTGCATATTTCTGTCCCTTTTTTCTCTTGCAGCTTCTAACAATTTCTGTCCCCTCATTTTTCAAATAACTGCAGAATGCCAAGTTCAGTTTGTCTTTTCTCCTTAGGTCTCTTTCCCTTTTTTGCCTTTCTTCTGTTTTACCTTATGTGTAGACACAAGTACCTGTATTGTTTTGATCACATCCGGGTTCAAAGTCCCTTCTACTGGCCAAGGCTGGTCAATGTCAGGCCAACGCTTGCTCCATTTTTCTGATATTTTTGGAATATTTTTAACAAGAGGATTAGTCTTCTGCACTACATCAACAGGAGTGATTGCTTTTGTAATTTTGGTGTCCATCTTTGACATTACAATGACCCTCTTAGTTCCTTGTATTGTAAGTCAAACTGAAATAGTTAAAAACTATTTAGAAAATAAGTGAATAAGTGAATGAATTTGCCAACCCCAAAGGAGACCAAAGCCTTCTTACTATGAAAGCAAAAGCACTTGTTTATCACCTAGTGCATCTAATCACACCTATATATCTTAAAATTATGGAAATAATGTCAATGTTCCATCTCAAAATAGACCCAGTAAGCTAGACCATACTCAGATAATGAAACCAGCATTCACAGCACTCAACAGCATTTGAATCAAATCAACTTCTTCACAAATGATCAATCAAATCAACAATACTCCATTAATTAGCCAAATGCTTCAATTAGTCAGTCTGTTTGCCAAGATTTCCTCCGAATAAGTAGAAATACTGTAAGCCTATATGTGAAAACAAACTAACCATGTATCAAAAATGTTTACTATAAATAATGTATACACATATAGAGAAATTCAGGTGTTTGTTGAAAGAGTTTGTGGATAAAACCGCACTGGCCTTGATCAAGCTGGATTCAGGATCCCTACGCGCTGTTATCTGCAAGCTTATCTGCAAACACTGATGAAGATCAGATTAAATAAACGTCCTCTGAAACAAAGGCTCATAGGTTTTTTAACACTGATGAAGCAAAAATGTCCCCCCTTGCGAGTTACTAAAATCGTCTTTAAGCAATCTCCTGCTATATATGCCTATTTAATAATACATCTATTCTATTTGTCAATCCCACACAAACAAGAACATTTCCGGAATCACACACACATAGCTTCACAGACAAGAACACCACACAGACCTCTCAAACACATCCAAATCACAGCACAAGAGACAAGACACAGACCGTCCAGAAGCCCCCACACAAACACTTCAGGCTGTATAGAGCGGCACACAAACACACACACCCACACACCCACAGGCTCCAACAGTGACACACAAACACATTCCAGGCTCCAACCGCGATTCACCTTAAATCTTAAAGTCGACTCATTTATAATTTTCTCTCTAACATATGTCAAAATTGTTACTTTGGCCAAACTTTGAACAAATTGTCTTTTAACAGATTACATTACACATTGCATGCTTCAATGCACACTTTTTCCTTTATTTCAGCGCTTTCATTTTTCCACTTTTCTCAAAACTTTCTTCCATCTTTATTTCATCCTCATTTTTCATCCTTTACTTCTCTTCTATATTTCTCAAATTTATTTCTTCTCTTTATTTCCTACATTATACGTTTACCCTGGCCAGGGATCCTCTTTGTTTTACTTTTATTCTTACTCAATTTGACTACTTCTTAAAGCCAACTTTCACTTCAGTGTCTAATTTACACATGACTTATTGTTAAGAGGATACGGGCCCTGTCCTCATAATCTTGCAAAGTTTTTTCGCTAACTGCTCTCTAGTTACTTGTTGCGCTTATTCTAACATTAATTTCAACTTTTTCTCTTTTATCTTAGTTATCTCTTATTCTCTTTCCTTTTCTTTATTTTATTCCCCTTTTTTACATACTTTTTAACTCAATAAACCCCAATTTAGACGGAGAATCACTCCAAACATCAACACATCATTGCACTTCAGTTCTTTGACAGTGCAGCCAGATTTGCAGACAGAATCAGCTACCCAATGTGTGAAAAAACAGACACTCACGCTCTGAGGTGATGGAGGCACACACTGAAGCTGTGGTCCGCTGCAGAAGGCCCCAACTGATCCTGTTCGTGACGCCAAAATTGATGTGGTTTCTCTTGTTGTTGATATGTTTGATGATGAAGAAATGTGCATGTTTCCTTTCCTTTCTGCTTCTATCCCTCTCTGGCTGGTCTCTTTAAAAAAGCTACAGCTGCTTCCCGGGTATTGAGCTGAAAACTGTTATCTAGCTTCCTTAAACCAAGTTGTTTAAATTGGATATCTGTTTGATTAAACGCAAATGCCCCAACGTGTTTCTTCAAGATGATTGAGACAGACGATGACTTTGAGCCCATCGCTGATGGCTACGACTACCTGGTGGACTTTATGGATCTGTCGTATCCCGCCAAGAGGCCTGACAGAGAGCACGCCTACGTGGAGGTAAGACATCGAGGAGAACCACACTAAGTACACACATCATCATAAAGCATTGTTTTAACTTCCAGGGCAAAATCTGATGTCTCATTTGTTTTTACAGGTTAAAAATAGAATCGGGGTGATGAGATCAGTGGTGCTGTACGGCCGTCTCTGGGACGACCTGTACATTGGCTTCCAGAACCGCATTAGCCGAGACCCGGATGTCTACCACCACAAGTACAAACACTTTTTTTTCCACTTGTAACTTAATCTATTGAATTTAAATGTGAGCATTCAGAAGAGGGCTGCACGGTGGTGCAGTGGTTAGTGCTGTTGCAAGAAGGTTCCTGGTTCGAATCCCTTTCTGTGTGGAGTTTTCATGTTCTCCACATGCATGTATGGGTTCTCTCCGGGCACTCTGGCTTCCTCCCACATTTCAAAGCCATTCACCTTAGGTTAACTGGCGACTCTAAATTTGGTCAACTGGAAGCTAATGGAACTCAATGTTTACAGTCTTAACATTCAACGACGTGATTGCAAAGTTTTGCTTGTGTCGTAATATCAATATCTCGTCTGTTTCCAGGTTCTGGAACCACTTCCAGACAGAACTACCATTTCGCAAGCCAGACTGGGACCAGTTCCTGCAGCAGGTTCCAGCAATCGAAGAGCCAGAGACACAGAGTTCCTGTAAACTGTCATGAACATGCTTGTTTCACATATGAAGATCAAGTAACTGATTTTGTTGAGTTCACAACAACTGACAATACATGCCATATTATTCCAACGTCCTTGATTTTTTACTTTCCCATCAATATTAATTCAATTAGTGGTAAACTTTTTCTTGGGTGATAACACTAATGGAGTTTAAAACTGAAAAAAATGGCGCCATCAAGTATGCGTAATGACAGACTGTTGTCATAGAGACAGGATGGACGCTTCATGCAAACACTCCCGAGCGCACAGCCAGCGCTCTTCTGCCCTGAAAAAAATGCTAGATTGACACAGGGCCTCTCTCTAACCTCTCTCCATTTTTCTAAAAGCATCTCCAATATTGATCCTAGTTTGAGCACGTTTCTGCTCGTGGAGCTTATTAGAAACATGCACAGGCTTTTTAGGTCGGGTACAATCACTTCTATCTGAACCACTTCTCTCGCCCGCTTCCATCTCTGCAACACCTGTTGACCTGATAACTGGTCTCATATCTGGCAAACCAGGGGGTGTCCAAAACGGCCGTGTGGGGGTGCCTTAAAACCCCCTACCTTCTCTGGTCCAAACAAATCCAGAGCATTCAGGACCAGAATCTAAAGTTAGAAGGAAGACATACTGGCTGCTGCATTGTTGTTCAAGAAGCCAGCACTTCAACATAGCATGTTTCCTTAATGTCTGATCATATAGTGAGCTCACTTAATCATTTCATTCAGTAGATCTTACCGATTGGACCTTTAATAATTACAGTTTGCCATTTTAAATTCTGCTCAGTGCACTATATTTCTTTCTTTTTTGCACCAAAGACTGTATATGATCTGATATTACTACACACTGTACTGCCTATCTTCTTGTAATAAATTCTGACTTCAAATTAAATACTTTGGTGTGTGTTTTTAATCGGTGCGTTATTTTTTAAGTTGCATTACTGCAGTGCAGAACTTTTTTCTCCCTCCTTTGCCAATAGACCATATCCTCTTTATCAGTTCAGAATGACATCAAGTCAAAGTGTTCCCCACTTACTATTGTAACATGTTATATCACACCCTCTCTTTTTAGCAAATATTGGTTGGTTATAAGTGTGAGAAATTGTGCATGTTTGACACAAGCTCTAAAAATTACCTTACATCCTGTTCCTGTTGAGTGCCACTTCCTCTTACAGTCTTATATGAAGGTGGACTTTTAAAAAAACCCACAGCCTCTGTGTCGTCGCTTGAGGCGAGTCATTCTTTGAAGCATGGGGTGCATTTTGGAGGGGTTTCTGTGGGCCTGGATTATCCTGGAGTCTGGGGTGTGTTCAGTTACACTGCCAGAAATAACAGATAGGAAATTCATCGATGAATATGTGAAGGAACACAACAGGGCGCGGTCATCTGTCAGTCTGCCTGCAAGTAACATGCTGCATATGGTAGGCGTGATGGATAAATATGTTTCTTTCTTGTGAAGAAGGGCAGAGAAAAATGAGCTCAGACACCTTAATGTCAAGTAGGTAAAGATGTTCAGTTCTTCAGTAAGTGATGTAATGTCATGAACAGCATACTTCAGATATGAGCAGAGGAAAAGTCCTTCTCTCAAGAAGTATTTCTTATGTCAGCCTTTTGATGGTTTAGTAAGGTGTGGTAGCAGCCTGAGACTGAAAGGTACAGGGCTTTGAATCCCGAGACTATTTAGTATATAAATGCTAATAATGAGCTTGTCTGTTGAGAAAAGCCAGTCATCTTATCACTATTAAGAAACTAACTCTCTCTTACCTTTTGTTGCATGTTGTTGGAAACACTTGGCTTATATTTGTCCATGATTTGATATAACCAGTTTATATGTTTCTGTTTCAGTGCAAAATCCTAGTGACAAAATGTTCCTAAATCACTCCTATAGGCTAAGACTCCTTGCTGGGATTTTTTAAGATAAGTTAAGAGCTTTCTGAGAGGATTCTCAGGGCCCTGGTCACCACAGTGAACATACTTTGATCGTGAAATATTTAAACAGAATATTTTTCTTGGTGCACATGTAACAGATGTGGTCAGGGGAGTGAAGAAAACCAGACTTTGACCGTTTTCCAGTTTTTATTTTCTCCTGCAGAAGACAAAAGAACATTCAATTTGCCTTCTGGACATTCGTTTTCTGCACCTCTGCTCCCTCAGCAATGCAAAACGGCACTGTCAGAGCTCTTAACACATTTATATTACATAGAAATACATTACAATCATCATTTCAATATTTTAACTATATGTAAATATTTATAACCAAGAGCTGCTACAAATGGCTGAAAAATTTTGGTTTTCAGTCTATATTAACAATAAATCTTAGTAAAAACCATGAGAAACAGTATACCAAATGGTAAAACAGTGACACCTAGTGGACAAAATAAGCTACAACATGTGGCTGTAAGACAAAAGAACATTCAATTTGCCTTCTGGACATTCGTTTTCTGCACCTCTGCTCCTACACATGTAAAATAAATATTATTTCAACTGAGAATATATCTGAATATATCTGCGGCGCTACGTCAGTCATGTGACACAGACGCTGTAGGATACTACACAATTCGCACCAAAACCGCTACATTCAAACAGTCTCCAAAGTGATATAAAACTCTCAAAACCTAAACAAAATGACTGATTAACATCACAACTTAAATCACTTATTTTCCACAGTAAATAAGGTAATGATGCAGCAACGTTTTTACATACAACTTACCCTCAGCAATGCAAAACTCCACTCTGAGGGACAAATTATAAATGTAATCTCAAAAATAAAGTGCATTTTAACTCCATTACACAGACGCTCCAGGATTGCTCGGCAGAATGTGACCTTATTTTTAAATGCATGACACAAGAGTCAAATAAAATGACGCATGAGGCAAGTACGAACCCAGTCTCACTGAGGTTTGTGAGTCATGAAATACAAAGAACTGATGGTGCACGTGCTCATTTTTTCCCTTTTTCTGTGTCATCACAACTTCAAACTTACATACCTCAAATTCACTTGAACATTTGGTGCGTGTCAAATCTTTCGATGTGACGGGTGCAACGCAAAGTTGGGTGGATAAAAAACAACATTATGACTACAACAGCCAAGGCTGCACAAATGTCTGTGGCCACTACACCCAGGTGTGAACACTTCTCCCTGAAAATATTTTGACTGTGTTAATGTTTCCTTCTTTTTTGTTTGGTAACAAGCCTGCATTTCTTATTTTAACCCTTTTGTTGTCTGCAGGTTGTGTGGGCGAGCAGCTACAAGGTTGGATGTGCAGCCCATCTCTGCCCAAATGGTGTTAAAGGAACTCACTTTGGTCCTAGAGAAGGGGTCGTTTTTGAATGCAACTATGCTCCAGTGCAAGTTTTATACGTCTTCAAATTTGCTTCAACTCTTAGTTTATGAATTGAATTTTTTTTTTGACAGTTTAGGGTTATAACTGGTGAGGCAGGAGGAGCGCCATAAATAGTGGTTTATATTTAAACAAAATGCACCAATCTTACCTGTCTAAAGGGTTATGGGTAGCTAAGTAAGTTCTGAAGACCGATTACAACACAGAGGCGTGTTGAAGGCTGTCCAATTTCAAAGGCTCCTACAAATGCGGCTGACAAATCTGTCCTTCCTCCCTAGACTAACAAAGGATTTATACGGTGTGTCTTTCATTGGCGCAACATATCCCTAGAGTCATTGCCCGCAAATTCAGATGAGCTGGCAAACTATGAAGTGGCAAACTATGAAGTGGCAAAGTGATACATAGTAATTGGTTTCAACGCGGCCGAAGAGCTACCAATACGGGGCCTTGATACTTCAAGTTATCCCTAAAAATAATAAGTTCATTTAAATGACGTTAGCTATGTTAGCTAGTTCCGTGGCAGCAAATGTGGTTGCTAGGTGGCAGGAGCAGGGCTTAGAAACGAGAGAGTAAGGAAGGGGACAGCTGGATTAGCAAACGGGGAATCTTCCTCAGACCAGACCATCTTCATTTCAGTTCAGACAATTTCGTGGAGAAAGAACAAAAAGCTTTTTTGATTATATTTCACATTCAGAAGAAACATGTTGCAAACAAAGGTATTGTCTGAAACATGAAGAACAGCAGAGAGACATAGAAATTGAGCTGCAGCTAAAATGCACTCTTTATTTTCTGTTTATTTATTATTCGATTCATATCATAAAAGGTCCAATCAGTAAGATATCTACTGAATGAAATGATAAAATGACCTTACTATATGATAAGACATCAAGGAAACATGCTATGTTGAAGTGCTGGCTTCTCTGACAACAATGCAGCAGTATGTCCTCCTTCTAACTTTAGATTCTGCTCCTGAATGCTCTGGATTTGTTTGGACCAGAGAAGGTAGGCGGTTTTAAGGCACCCCCACACGGCGGTTTTGGACGCCCCCTCGGTTTGCCAGATATATATACAGGTGTTGCAGCAATGGAAGCGGGCAAGAGAAGTGGTTCAGATAGAAGTGATTGTACCCGACCTAAAAAGCCTGTGCATGTTTCTAATAAGCTCCACGAGCAGAAACGTGCTCAAACTAGGATCAATATTGGAGATGCTTTTGAAAAATGGAGAGACAGGGAGAGGGGAGAAAACTCTCTCCAATGTTTTGAATTTTGACTGCAGTACCCATTGTGGTGGAATTTCTGTAGTTATTTAGATTATAATGTACAGATGTCATTATGTTTATTCACTGTACTCTAATGTCAGTCAGACCTGACAGAGTTCATTTGTTATTAGAAGACCAAGTACAGCTTAGAGAGTGTCAACTGTTCTTCCTGATATCTGCAAGTATGTTTGGTAGACTTATTGTCTGCTCCAGTGTTATAGACGTCACAGTTTAGTCTAGGTGGGTCAATGTAACATGACCCTGATAATGGTAATGTCTTTTAGGATGTATGCGATGCCTTTCGAGAAGTTCGGGAGATGTGATTGAGCATGACACGAGTACAGAAGTGGGATGTTGAATCATGTCTCCTCGAGTATTCATCTTATGTATAAACTTTCATCAACGTAAGCCATGTGAGTCAACTGAGTCTTATTGTGTGGAGTTTCTTTTTTTAAAGCACAATGATTCTATTACTTAAAAAACGTATACATTTAGTAGCACTTTCATCCATGAAAATGTAAAAATTGTTCTGTATTAAAACAATATGTCATTGTGGCCAGTGTGACTGCATCAGGTTACTTAAATATTAGCCCTCTATTTTTTTTCTTTTGAGAGGAGTGACCTCAGTGAACCTCCATAACTTATGAATATTTGGTTTTCATTTTATTTTTTATTTTATTTATTTCCCTATTTTATTTTTCTAAAACATTCCATAATCTCACTTGAATTCTGGTAAAATCCTCAACCTATCAGAACTCCTCCCACCTATCATAAATATCCGGTTCACGAGGTCACTTCCCCTCACCTCATCGCATGCTGCAGAAGCAGAATTGTTTGGTTTGCCCAAGACGGGACGGGTTTATGATTTACACAGCGGTGAGTTATATGTTGTATATTGTATATTTTTTAATGTTAGATGATAGATAAATGTGGTTGGTTGTTTCTTCCGCGGGAATCGCGGGAGAAATTTCTATGCAGAATCCCCTTGGGAAAACCCCTACTTTAAGCCACGGCCGGGTCATTGGAAACCTTGGCATGTATTTCTTTTCATTTGATTACACTGCGGGATTTCATAAAGTAATCCGAGCCTAAAGTTAAAGGTATATTTATGTTTTGTGATGTTTAAGTAATGGGGTTTTCAATGAGATCCGGTAATGAATATTTAAATGAATGGACTCACTGTTCATGACCTTTTTTTTATAGGTCAGGTTTTTGTGTATGCACCTTACAGCATGAAGATGGCGAGCTAACACCTACAAGATCTACCCTGCCTACAAAGTGGTAGGATCTATAAAGACATTCGAACAAGGATAATTTTGGGGGGTTTTTGATGGACCCAAACCGCGTTTTTAATTAAGAGGATATTTATGTTGGTTGTTGAAATTATTGTTTTGTTATATTGGAAGTATTTTTTTTATGTGAAATACAATAATTATTATTTAAATTTACCTGTGTTTGGATTTTTGTTGGTATTCACATTTGAGCTCCGAGAGACCTACCTTATTTCTTCTTGGTAATTCCTTCAACACTTACCATGTAGACTCCGATGAACAAGACATGGGGATTGTGTGGTTTCTTGTTTCATTAAATTCATAATGGGCTTGTTTTGTTTGTTGTTGTTGTTTCCCTGTGTTCCTGGGTTAGGTTACTGGAAGAGCGAGAGAACAACCTCAGGTCACCGTTCTGCTGTGTCTATCCTCGGGCTAGCTCAAGTGAAGAAGAAATCCTCTCTATGCTGATCATGAAATGTGCAAATATTTGTCATACAGTGATTTTTCATAGAAAGTGAGATGAGAAGATCAGGTTTGTCTGCTAAATAAAGCCTGCAGTGACAATGTGGTAGCTGTGGCAGCCGGCTTTACAAATGTGATATCTGGCTCACCAGTAAACATGTCAAAACTGCAATGTTTGATTTGTAAGAAAAGTGTAAGAGGAGTTGAAGTTTTACGGGCGTAATACTGTCCGACAGGTGGTTACTTAGAAGTGGTGACCTTTGGGAGTCTTGTCTGGATTTTAGAGGTTGTCAGGTCATAACTTTACTGAGGTTTTAGGCAGGATTTTCTTCTAAAACTAGAATGACCACATGTGACTAGTATCTTAACGTATTACTGTCTGATTTCTGTGGATTTGAAAGGTTTGACTTGGTCGTGCTGTAGGCTGCAGACTGTGCAATAACAAAATATAATGAAAAAGATTACTAAATCAACCACGGCATACAAGCCTGTTTTACAGCATTGAAAATGTTCCATCCAAAATGTCAGTCACCTCAGGAAATTAAAACAAAATCAAAACAGAGCGTTATTTAAAAAAGTCACCCCCGTACAGTATGTGCTCATGATGCCAATAACTAATCAGACCTATTTTGTTTTTGGTACCAGGCTGTAAACATGTTTATGTATGCTAATAAAACTCACATTTTTGAATGTTTTGTGTATGTGACTTCAGGAGCTCTGCATTGGCTTCATTTTTCAACACCGGAGGTCTCGCTTGGTCATATGTTACTTTTATTCAGGACTTTTTGAGGAAATGCAACAATTGTGTATTTCTCTGAATTGAGACAAAGTTAATATACTGGATGATTTGGAACATACTCGATAAGAAGAAAAAACTAAATCAAATAGCCTAGTGCGCTATTTATTTCCTTGAAGCCCACTCATTTACTGCTTTAGTCATGTAACTGTTAACCATAAAGTTTATAAGAACATACATAACGGTATTCTCATTTATATCATCTGAGCTTTTGGCGGATGACAAATAAAAGACAATATTTTGAACACATTTCAACAAACGACTTTTTGGCTTTTATTTTGAAGGCAATGCACCCAAACTCGCAGTGATCACTTAAATTACATCCGCTTTCAACCCATCAAGAAAGGAGCGACACCGCCCCATGTCGTCTTTAGCAGTACTCTACAACTTGCTTTAAAACACAGTGGAACCTGATACGGGTTTCCAACCACTTTATTTATTTATTTATTTTTGAAACATATTTTAGCCCTTTCAGAACATAAATGTGAAGAAAGAAATACTCCATGGGTTCTTTCATAGGAGGGGGGTCTGATGTAGGAGTTACATATTTGTTTCTGTATTGATGTTTTCCTTACTGGGAGCATATTTCTCTGCAGGCACTCATTAAAATAATATTACACACCACACTGATTGCTTTTTTTTTTAGCACCGTAGCAGTATATATATCCTAACAATAACACAGCTGTTATAAATTTATGAAGTATCTTTAGTATGAGACATTTGAGAAATTTTGATTTACAAAACTTTTTATTTATATTTTATATACTTGTATTTATTTATATATTTGGGAGAAAAACCCCAAAGCATGTCAACATAAGCGTCAACAAATTTGTTAAAACATATTTAGTTGATCGTATTTATGTGAACATTTGCTCATCCAAAGAGAGAAAAAGAGAAGACCGCAAAGACGGCAGCCGACGGCCAACGACCACGTACGTTCTGTGCATAAGTGAGAGGAAATAACTCTCCATGCCAGCAGGAGGCGGTAGTCTGTAATCGTCATTCCAAAAAGGGGAAACAGGAACAGGATGAAGAAGAATGAGGATAAATAAACTGTTGTTGTGACACAAGAAGACAATTTTATCACCGCTGTCGCTCAACACTCGTAATATAGGAACTTCTAATGGAGAATAATAATAATAATTACATTCTTAACTTTTTACTTAAAGGGATACTTCACCTGTTGAAACATGAATCTGTATTGACACTGGGTCATATATGTAGAAATGTGAAACACATTTTGAAGTTGGTGCCTTCTTGGGAGAGAAAAGGCAGAAAGTGTCTTTTTGGCTCATGTGTATGAAAGACACCAAATCCCAGAATGCACAGCACCACAGGCCACTCCCACTAAGGTCAGGTTTACAGACATATTTCCTTCAACACATGCGGCCGTTTCCTCAACTGATTCAGAGATTCCTCGTCCTCACAGCCACCGACAGGCAGGCCTTATGTCTCGGCTGCTGAGCTGGCAGCGGCTGGCGGCGACCAGCAGTATAGCAATATAGCTGCGAGACGGCCAGCAGCCGAAGCAGCCAAAACACAAGACCAGCCTGTCGGCAGCAGTCATCTCGTCACTATATTTATATTTTTTCACCATGATCAACTTTCTCCATAGAGCCTGTTAGCATAGCTTCCAAGCAATATGGTGGACGTTAAGTTTCGATTCTGGGAGTGAGTTCCCACCCACTGATCTGTGATTGGTCTGTAGCTTCAGTGGTCGAAAATATGAGGAACTAGCGTTGTAGTTTCAGCCCGCTAACCACAACAGCTTCTAGTGACGCAAAAATTGTTATTTTGCGTCATCAGAAGCTCCTTTTCAGACTTAAAAATACAAAGATTTCCCATCTCAGGGGAAAATGAGGGCGAGATGTATGACCATTCAAAAATACTACCAGGTTTCTAATGATACAAAGATTAATGCAAATGGCTGAAGTATCCCTTTAATCCAGACAGGATAAGGCTAAGAGAACGTCCTTGGTCACTGCCCACATCTTCCAGAAGGGATGCGGCTTGCTCCATAGATACCAATTCCAAAAGCTAATCCAATCAAGTGTTGTTATTCTTTTGAGGTTACCCCATCTATGATATTTAGAGGTATACCCACTTTTGGACTTAATAGCCGTTGTCACATATGCACGCCGGATAATATCTAGATAATTACGGGAGGACTGCTCCAGATATTCTCCTGACCTAGCTGTTCACATCCTCCACCAGTCTAAAGTGTTCTTGATCACAGTTTTTTTTTCGATAAAGTGAGTTTTGTATTTTCAAACAAATTTATAAAGCTTCCTATATATAGCCTGGCCCAGACAATGTGTCAAAGGATGCGCCTCAAGACCTGTTTGACAGAAATTGGTGAGCCACTTCCACCTGACCTTGTTATGGCTGGGGAGGGTCCCTGTGCTTCATGGGTCATTCTAGTCATAGGTGGGGCCAGGGCGTGGGGGTGCTGAAGCTACCCCTATAGGGTATCTAAAGTACCCTCAAAAAGTGTATGCGATTTAATAATTTTTTCGTATCTAATTTATTTACATGTGAGTCATATGCCTTTCAATTTTAATTAAGAAAACAATGTGTTTTTTTTAGAATTAAAAGAAGTCGGATCAGGATATTAAATTCAGCCAATGGTGCATCATGACGAACCTAATAAGGCTCATCGAGGTGCTGTTTACTGGGAAATGGCAGTTACTAAAAGAAAAGCAGGAGGAGGGGGATAAAAAACAAATGGTCAATAAAACCTCTTTTATGGGTTATGGGTTTTTTTGCTCACAATGCTTACTGTGACGCTGAGCAAAGTCTACTCTCCTAGAGGAAATAATTACACCAATATGTTAGACTCATACTGTAAACTGTAAACATACAAGAAAGTGACTGAAACTTCTGAGTGAGGAGGCGTAAATCTCTGTTGATAAGGCGTACTTTTGCCCACTTGTGTAGCCGCCTGGTCACACTGATAGTTACATTGGCATGTAAAGGGTGTTTAAAGGTTGATTAGATACACGTGTGGAGTAAACCACATTTGAAGGGACTGACTGTATCTCAATTTGCATTGAAAAGTCTTCTTAAATGATGTTTGTCTTAAAGCCCAACTATGACCCAATAATAGCGTTATTCATTCAGTGTTTGGAGAACATGTTTCTTCTCTTCAGCTCGAGAAACTCTTCAGCCTCTTTTAACGGATGAATGTTGTTCCCTGTGCTGTTTTTTAGTCTGTAGGGACTTTGGTTTGAAATCGGAGGGTCGTCGGTTTAAGTCCCGGCACGGACCAAGTCCGGAAGTTGGTCTGTATTTCAGCCTATGTTTGTGTTCATGTTCATTAGACAGAGTGTAAAAACTGAATTTCCCCTCACTGGATTAATAAAGTATTAATTATTATTATTATTATTATTATTTTTCTCTTCTCCCCTTCTGTTGTCTCTAGCCCAGGTGATGCTACTTGTTGCACAACTATGCACACCTGTCCTCAGAGCTTAAAAGCCCACTGCTGGCTTCAGGAGAAGTTGGGACTGCGGTCTCTCTCAAGCTGTTTTCACATATGCACTCCGGATAATATCTAGAGGGGTGTCAGATAGTGGTGGGCGATATAACCATCTTAGATCGTGAAGGATTTTAACCTCCTGATGAGCTGCCAAAGCAGGGAGATCGTAGAACCGGACTAATGTGTTTATTCTATCATGCTGCAGTTTATGCTCCGACACAGACACGTCTCCTCCTCTTTTGCTCTGCAGAGGTGAAAACGAAAACGAAACTTAAAAGTAAAGTCCGCAAAAACAACTCCATCTCGGTTATATGCAAATGTTCTGACATTTTTCCAAACCGACACGCTGTGAGCAACAGTTAATTTATCTGCATAGTTTGCACAGTTAAATTTACATCTCAGATAGCGACACAAGAAACCTTTATACGAGCTGGAGAGACGTTAACACTCAGAGACAGACAGAGTGGAGCTCAGACAGTCAGTGATGAGAGATATAACCCCGGTGTTTAAAATGTTGCTGTCGGTGTTTTCTGCTCTCTCTCAGTTTTTAAAAGTTACCAGGGGCGGACTGGCCATCTGTGTGTTCTGGAGAATCACAGAACGGCCGGTACTATTTTTTCCTGCTAATCTACTGTTTCACACTCCAGTCCGGTAGGTGGCAACAATGCGTCTTTAAATTGGATGCCAGCCGGCAGCCGCCCGTGCCCACCATAGACTGTAAGGTGCCCACCAGCTAATTGAAAAAAAGAAGAAGAAGAAGTAGCAGCAGCAGCAGCAGCAGCGAAGACGATCTTTGGTAGCAGTAGTGAAACACAAAAATATGGATAGAAAACGCAAAGAAAAGGGTGGGGCTGAAAAGGCGAGGGAAAGAATAATGCAACACTTAGAAAGTGAAGCCGCTAAATGTCGCAAACTCACTGAAATGTTCAGCAGCACAGCCGGCAGCAGCAGCAGCAGCAGCAGCAGCAGCAGCACAGCGGCACAAGTTGATGTTAGCAGCATGAGTGAAAAAGAGAGTGTTGAGGCGAGCCAGACAGTTGTGCATGGTAGGGCCACATGTGATGATGAGGGACAGAGAGATGAGCTGGTGGAAGTTCCACCAGCTCCACCAGTTCCACCAGTATGGAACATGACATGAGAGAGGGAGAAAGAGAGTTACTTGCTGGCTGATGTTAGCAAATGTTATTCAGGTGTTGCTACATTTTTATCTATACCCAGTTTGTGTTGCTCAGTACAATGTGAAAAATAAAATAAAATAAAATAAAGTGAAATAATGATTATAGTAGTTAAAACAGCTCCACTTTAAACATTTTAGGTGTAAAATGCCACATGCAGTAATATTAAGAAATAGGCTATACTGTATATATAAAAACTGTTGTGCTTTTACTTTTTAAAGTTTTGGTAACGTTACAGTTTTCTGATAATACTTACAAACTTTGAAGACTTTTAATAAAGAAGTTACATTTGTAGTGGTGTATTTTCATTATTATTTGTGCAGTAAGTTAATTACTGCATAATTTAATTAAGATTATTGAGTAATAAAGTAATCATAAGATTGCATGGAATAGATGATGTTATGAGCAACATCAGTGCTATTGCTGTAATTTGGATGGTATAGTGTCATGAGTCATGATTAAAGTATTGTGACACCCGTGCCAGGCGTTGATGACTTTCCGCGTACCGATTGTTGTGGGCCGGCCGAGTCAAAGTCCAGGGCTGTTTTGTAGTCCCAGTCCGTCCCTGAAAGTTACTATCAAGCCTCTCCACCTGAAACTCACCTGTATTGAATTTATAGGTATTACACTATACAACATTACACCTTGTGTGCAGCAGGCAGGTGAGTGAGTAACCATGGTGACTGTCTGTCTGTCAATCAACAATGTCCCGCCCCCCTCTATGAATGAAACTCTTCAGTAAAACTTACTTTGATCATGTGTCACAGAATGAGACACATGATCCCCTTCGAGCTCTAAACTGAAGCTGTTTGCAAAAAAGCTCATCAGCGTCAGCGTGTGCACTTTCTAAGGAAGCTTAGGAATTTAATGTTGACAGCACTTTTATGAAGATGTTTTATTCCTGTTTCATTGAATCGGTTTTAACTTTCTGTATAGTGACTTGGTAAGGGTCACTCAGCGCCAAAAAAACGCAACAAAATGCAGAGCATTGTTAAACTGTGTGTCAGAATCACACGCTCGTCCCTTTCTGACCTTTCTCATTTATATAAAACAAAGTGTCTTAAGAAAGCTCAGTCAATCTTGGCAGATCGAAGTCATCCTTTGTCCAAGGAACTTAAGTTGCTGCAGCCAGGCCTCAGATTCAGCCTGCAAGCATGCAGGACAAAGAGGATGAGAAACACATTTGTTCCTGCTGCCATCACCTTTTTAAACTACTAACTGTGTTAACTCTGTTTCCACCTGTCTCTTATCTACTGTATTTATTTATTGTCCATTCTATGTTGTTTGCTGATTCCGGGCTGTATGTGTTTTACTGCAAGACAAATTGCCCTCTCTCAGGGACCTTGAACCTTAACTTGGCAATAAAAAACCATTGTGACTTTGATATCTACATATCCCCCCCCCCCCTAAAATTGCAGGTTAGGTTACAGGCGTACACGCACTCAGGTAATATATAAAACGATCCTGTTATATAGATAAAGAAAGTCAGCCGCTCTGCATTATCTACAGTGCATCGAATCAAACCAAAATCTCCAAATTCGAGGAGTTACGTCAGGTCTCGCATACATTTTAGGAAGTGTTTTGTGGCGTAACGCTTCCACATTTTATGTCAGGGAGGGAGTCACACAGGAGCAGTTACACCCTGATTGACCTCATACATATTATAACCTACAACAAACCACCACTGCCACAGGATCCGACTACAGCCTCACCATCTTTCAAACACTGCAGAGCAGCATCTCCTGTCCATTAGGCTACTCCCTGGACTACAGCCCATCTGTTTGGAGGTGAGTCTGCTTTAAACACGCAGGTGTAAGAGGGTCATTTATTTATAATTCATGAATTTAAAGGGGAATCTACAGGAGTGACTAATAAAGTCAATCAAAGAGCTCTAAATGAAAGAAGTGACAGTTCATTTTTAAATCAATTGTCTCAGGCAACCGATATGATCAGTCATTCGACCTGTTTTTAACTTTGAAATGATGATTAATCCTCATGAGGCTACAAGGTTATATTTCTGCTCAAACTGAGCATTAAGGAAGTCAAGACTCTGCCTGCACTGTTTTTAAAGGTAAAGAAAGCGTCCAATAACAGTGAAAAACACATGGAAGCATATTGCATTAACATGAGAAAATACAAATCTGCTCTGTTTTAAAAGTCAGGTGAATGCAGATACTGTAGCTACTTGGATTTGTTTTTTCAGTTTCATTTATCTAAATGTAAACTTGCTCCACTTCTTAGAGCAATGTTGTTGTTTGACTTAGTTACCGGTATGCACCTCCAAATGTAGTTATGTTCATTTTTGGGTTTATTCTGAATTATTTAAAGTTCCTGTGATGGATTATTTTTTTAAACCTTCCTTTTAAGTGTAATAATCGTTTTAACATCCCCGCTACAGGAGCTGGAAAACGTGTTTTCACAAATATAATAATGCCATCATTTCTAGATAAATGTAGTGTGCGCACATCCCGTGGTTAATTAGTAATTCCTGAAGTGCCAGAGCGGGGAGGAGACAAAAAAACATGTCCCTGAATACACAGATCTTCGGGCACACCTGAGCATTCACAATAATCAGCAATGTACGAGATACAAATAAAATAAAATATAAAAAATATGCAGACAGCAGATTAAAGACAAGATAAAGTAACACACAATATATACAAAATGTACAAGAATAGTAAGCTAGTTATTGCACAGTGACCATTGCAGCATGTTTAAAGAGCAGTAAGAGCTTCATTATTTTCTATCAAGTGGGGAGAAGTGCGTAAAATCACGACGTGCATCCGTCTCCCTCTCTCTCTTTCTCTCTCTCTCTGTCTCTCTCTCCCCCCTCTCTCTCTCTCTCTCCCCCCCTCTCTCTCTCAGATCCTGTGCTGGCAGGATCTGGTGGTTGATTATCTCACTCTTGTGTTGACTTTAGGTGTTTCCATTGAAACACAGCCATTTATTTATTCAACATGCACTCTGTTAGTAGATCTATCTAAACTGTAAGATTATTTCACTGTCGACTGCCCAACTCCTTCATTGAACCTTCTGTAGGCTACATTTTGGATTTTAATATTTTAATTGAATTTTCCTAATTGTTTTGCACCAAAACCTCAAGTCAAGTTCCTTCTATGTGTAAATGTACGTGGCAATAAAAAAAACGATTCTGATTATTGTCTCACCCATCTCATATCTGCCTCCTCTGCTGTGATGGATTCCTCTGGATTTAGTTCAACCTGGCTGGCTTATGTTCAGGTATAATAAATGTTTTTTGTCTTCACTTCCTTATTGATGTCACAGTATAAACAATAACTCACAGCCATTTAACTGGCCTCCTGTATTTGTCTCAGTACACTAGTACGGCACTTTGTGTGTGTCCGACTCCGCCACAGGTGGGTGGCGATTTTCAGATATCAGTTATCAGTTAGTTACACTTGGACTTTGTTACAGTTGGCCTATTACGTCACATACCCAATAATTGAAAACATCCATGTACTTCAATGTGTTTCAGTATAAAGTAACAAAATAGTAACAATTAAAACGTTTTCTTAGAAACAATCTTCAGTTAGGCATCAAGTAAGGTCTTTTACCTGTTTTTGTAAAGTGTGTCGCGATAACACTTGTTATGAGTTGAGGTTATAGAAATTAATTGATTGATTGATTGATTGATTGATTGATTGATTGATTGACTGATTGATTGATTGATTGATTGATTGACTGATTGATTGATTGATTGATTGATTGATTAGGCTAAATGTACATGTTTCCTTCGTGCCTCCATTACTGCGTGCCTGCAGGTAAACTAACCCTACCTTAAGTCAACCTTTTGTCCTCAAGTGACTTCAGTACATTTCATAAGACCATGTAACCTTGGCACACCTGATTGTGAGAATTTGACCATCAGTATGAACATTGTAATTATGTTCCTGTCAAACCTCAAGCACCAAAAACTTGTTTTGTTGTAAACTCCCTGTTTGGTAACAGATAATTATCACATTCTCAATTGACTAGATTAGTTTGATGTTGAAATCTAGACATGATGACACTATGAATATTCAGAGGTTTTTTATGACTGAGTGTCTTCAAGAAGAATTCATATGATAAACTTAACACAGAGTCTGTTTCCCCTTTTTGTTGTTTTATTCCAGTACCAGAGGACTCACCATGTGGCTAAAAGGTTTTATAAGTAACCATGTCAACATGAAACTTCTGAAGACCTGTGTCATCCTTCTTCTTCTGACTGTGTTGTTCTTTGTACTAAGAAACATGGACCTGCTGCAGGTGAGAACTGGGATTATTGGTAACACTTTAAAGGTGGTCATTGAGTGTCTTTCAATGTACTAAAGTGGGGAATGGGCCCCCCTTGGGGCTCCTGAGACACTGAAAGGGGGTTCGCGAGATGCTTTCCATAAACAAATAAAAGTTTTAGGATTTGCAAAATGCATATTTTACCCATTATTGTGAAAATACATACAAAAAGTAGTTGAATTTAAAAAACAACGATAGTTTTTAAGTAAGATTTATGCTGAAATGAAAGTGATATGTAAAAAAGTCCATTAAATGTAAGTTTGTACAGAAGTGCAACAATGAAGGTGTTCATCTACTCCCCACAAATAAAAACACACAGATATCAGCTGTCTGCTTGATGTCCACTCAGTCCTTAAGTTTATACATGGAGATTACTTGGGTTCTGCTTCTAGCCTTTCTTACAATGAATTACTAAAATATGGACAGTGGGGCCCCAGTCTCCAGCACAGTTATTTTGAGGGTCCCAAGCTGAAATGTTTGGGGACCCCTGCTCTACGCTATGAATGCTAAAGTCCTGATTGAAAGAGTTTGTGTTGAGGAGACAGGCTGGCTATTCATCAACAAGTGACATCAGGAGGGTAATAATGTCATAACTGTGAGGACCAGAGGGGTATTCCATGAAGCAGGATAAATTCAATTCTATTAATTTCAAGAAACTTTGTTTTTCCCCTGGGGGCAATTCAAAGGCACCCAGAGCAGGAGCATAACAAAGAAGGCTAAAAACTTTGAACTAAAAATATAAAATACCAAATTAAATACTAAAGTTAAAATACAAAATAGATGCAGTAGAATATAGATATAAGTGGACAGTGATCGGACTAAGTAAACTGAATTATTGACAAATGTAAACAGAGCTATATGCAATAGATTTATACTGAGTGAGGGGAGCAGCTGGCCGGCCGTCCCGTCCATGTGAACACGCTGTAGATACGGCTCTGAAAACATCACAGACAGAGGGACTCGGGTGTCACACTCCTTGTAGACAGTCATGACTCAGAGTTATTTTCAGAGGATATACTTGATTTCTGCTGGATTTATGTGTAAAATGTTGCACATTCAGCCTTTAAAGTATGCACAGACTCTTTATAAATTTGAACTAGCTCCATTCAGACAGCTGCTGTACCTTGCCATATAAATTATGCTGTGCAGCTGTATAACAGAGTTCATTTGAATCTGATATAAATTGTATATCATTGTATTTACATTTTATGGTAGGCCTACGGCTTTAATTTGACATTTCTGTAGGTTTTTTAAAAATATTTTGGGTGTTATAAGATTGTAGATTGTTAGATTGTTGTTAGATGTGACAGATATATAACATAGGCTTAGTCCATAACAATAGAAATAAAGTCATTACAACACAAGCTTACACAAGATATTTTAGTGTAAAGAGCGTAATAAAATGTGACATATTGTACATTTCCTGTACACTCCTGGTTTGATAGAAAGATGTGGAGAATCACATAACTAACAGAGTGACATCTTGGTGGCACTCTGTTGTCTCAAGTGACTCACACATCTTGCTAGTTGTTGTCTCATTCAGACTGACAGTTATGTAGCAGTGCAATTGCTCATACAATGGAAAACGGAGTTGATGAAGGGGCAGAAGTAAGGATCCTTTGTTTTCTTGTCCCCTGACATCATCATATTAGATCCCTCGCAATTCTGTCCCGAAACACTTTTTTTCCCATGTTGAGATCATTGCAGTGGATATTACTTCAGTATTTTATAGAGTGGCCCTCAGTGTATCGGCCTGGTCTTATAAAATGTCTATAATCCGCCTTTAAATTAATAATGAAACAGATACAGAAACACCTAACTTTGAGAGGGGAAAGTAGACAATATATAATTGGAAAAAAATAAAACACAACTTTGATCATTGAAAAGAGTAAATAAGAGTACATTTGTAAATGAAATGTTCATAAGGGGAGAGCATGCTGTAAGATCAAGAAATGTAAACGACTATTATCCTTAGGTCAAGTTAAGAATAATCCCAAAGTGACTTCCGGCAGATTAAAGTTTTAAAAATAAACAGTTATTAATAATACAAATTTATTTGGATAAATATTCCATCTTTTTTTTGTTTATTTTATTTTAGTTAATTTGTTCGATGCATCTTTGTCACCATCCTTCTTTTTCAACTCCTTGCCAGCGAAATTATAAAGAAAACTCTGCATCATCAACAAGAAAGTGAACTCTACTCAGCCCACTGCTCCCATACTGCTTCGCCTGACAACTTCTGCACCTTCAA